CCCAAGGCAGCTATTATAGGTAGTGAATCAATTTCTCTTCTGTGCATCCAGATGGTACTATCTATGTCATACTTGCAAAAAATTATAAAATAGTTATTTAAATGGTTTTCTGTAGGTCTGACCTTTTACCCCACCCCCTGCTTCCTGATTGCCAAGAGCCGAGCAGCTTGTCTCTTCCATGCCCTTCTGCCAGGTGTGCTGCCTCCCCTCAGACCCAAAGAGATGGAGTGGCTGACCATGGACTCCAACCTCTGAAACTGTGAGCCAAAATCAATCTTTGCTCCTCAAAGCTGTTCTTGTCAGGTAGTTTGGTCACAGGGACGAGAAGCTGACTAACACACTCTTAGACACCAAGCTTCCTTCACAAGAGAAGAGTCAAGGGAAGAAGGGAGAAAGCCGTGAGGAAAGGCAGAAGTCACCCAGTCTGCACCCTCCATTCAAGTGAGTGTCAAGAGATCGAGAACCTATAATTCTAACCAACACCCCCATCCCAATTATCTATTAGGCAGGATTTATAGGTTTGCTGTGATCTGAAGTTTGTGTGCCCCTAACCAGAAGTACTGCTGTATTTCTGTCTGAGCCTTCACAGATCACAATGGGGAGGGAATGCTTTAGTCACACGTCATGAGTGTGGCTACTCCATAAAGGAAAGGCTTGTTCATGCCAACATGGTAGACTGCACGGGGGGCTGACAACCTGTGTGCTCTTCAAACAAGGCAGATCATGCAGTGTGGCAAAAAAAGTATCCCTCATAGCCAAAACCACAAAGCCAACTAGTGTTCAACAAGACTGCTATTTATTATTCATCCTCTGAAAGACTAAGGAATAAAAAAATGTACTAAGCCACACCTGGAAAAGTCACGGTAAAGTGGCATGCCAGAGCTTGATGGAAGAATTACAAAAGAGATGGGGAGTCACGTGTGCTAATCTAAATCACCCCACCTCAGGACTGAGGACTTTCATTATTCCTCAAGCAGTGGCCTCTTATAATCCCACTTTCTCTAATAAAACCTTCCTAACAGAAACCTTATAAACCAAAAGCTTAAAATATATATTATTAAGTGTGCTTCTTGCTGCATATGCACATATGCTTGTATGTAAGCACATACAAGTGTGTTTTAATGTATTTGTTCCTATTACTCTTTTCATTTTTAGATTTTAAATCCTGGAAGACAGAGACCATGTCTAACTTATTTAACAATCTCCCAGAATCTGACCACAAACCTCATGAGGTTACAATAAGCCCTATTTACTGCCGACATTAACTAGTTTTAAAAAGAAATTCATAGAAAGCTATGTTTCAAACATAACTTCATATTTGGGAATTTGGGGTTTCTCTACTTTAAAGCAAAAACAACACCTTGTTATAAAACTTTTGCATAGTTGCCAAGATAATGAAGTTGGAGGAATCTCTTTTCCAGGAAAAAGAGTCATACATTAGGATTAATAGGTACCTTGGTTCCCAATCATGTTTCTCCTTCAAGATTGCACTTCTAAAGAGGAGACAAACTAAATACCAGCGATCTACTAGGATGCTTTCTGGGGGAGATTAGGAAACTGACCATAACAAAAACTAGATGCAAGTCCTCCTGAAGGGAAGACACTGGCACAGGGCAGGCCCTAATCAGATTACAGAGGGTCAACCAACTCACTGCATGTGATAATCAAAGAACAATGAAGATTTGTATAAATAATCAAACCTCAACTACAAAAGTGTCAAATTTATAAACCTTACTCAAATACTTATTTATGATTCTAGTAAAATATAAGGTAGGTATCAAGAGAGCAGCCATCCCATAAAGCAGACAGAACTATAGTTTTTCTGACAATGTGGAAGATGGTATTATTTTCTATAGCTTCTGACATACAGGTCTCCCTTAAATGGTGTTAAGAGAAATCTAAAGTTTCCCATGGTTTGTAAAAGATAGACACATAGAGCCTTTTGTGGATGTGGAAGCTGAAGGGAACTGTCTGATCTTGGTGGAAAATTAGCCATTCAAAAGTTTATTTTGGGCTTCTTAATTGGCTTGTACCATTTCTTTGACAAAAAAGAATGCCTTAAATTTATCCCTCAGTTTATAAAAGAGGAAATAAAACTTTTTAACTCCAAAACAGATCATGAGGCTCCAGTGCTTGACCTGGGTTGACAAATGGTGGCTGTCTTTTCAACTGGCTGCCCTAAAACCCCCTAGTAACAAGTCAAGTTTCCAGATGCTCCTTGCTTTTAATGAAGGAATAACCTAAAAAGTTGTGGATACAAATGCAAATGTCATTTAGTTCAACTCTCTACCTCAAAATTAGGTTAAGTACAGGTATAATAATGTGGTTATTTGTCATTCAACAGAAAATTTCTCCACAAAAATAAAAGGAAATGGAAATTTTCAATTTAATGAAAAGATTAACCTTATACCAGAGTAAGGAGATGCATTTGGAAACACATATTTTCAAAATTTCCCCCCAAAGGCATCCATCTCCCAACCTCTGTAGAGAAATTATTCTATTGAATAATATCACATCAATCCAGCCACTAAAGTAAAATACAAATGTTAAAATAAAACAAGTTAGTCATGAGCATTCCCGAGAAAAATACAAGGAAACCAAAAATTTTCCCAAGGGAAAAAAGCATAAAAAATATAATGGGAAACAATACTTTGAAAGAAAATCCACTTTGTTGTGACCACTTTCAGAATCCCGTGATCCATTATGATGACATGCACCCTACCATATGCAGCTCAGATGCAGAGGGGCCATCTGGGAGGCTCACTTCCCCTCCACGTCAACGGCTGTAATGTGGCTCAACATCTGCAAGTCAGCAGCACCGAGCCCTTATCACCAGAGCTCAGGACCCACCAAACTCATTTTGCTCCTCTGAACTAACCAGAAAACAACTGTTTTCCATCCTTCTTCATAGTTTTTTTCCTACTGTTATTTCCAATTTTAAGATTTGCTGGGGCTGGGGATGTGGCTCAAGCGGTAGCGCGCTCGCCTGGCATGCGTACACCCCGGGTTCGATCCTCAGCACCACATACAAACAAAGATGTTGTGTCCGCCGAAAACTAAAAAAAGTAAATATTAAAAAATTCTTTAAAAAAAAAAAAAAGATTTGCTAATAAAGTATGCATAAACAGTCAGTGAATGCACAAAATTCTTATCCTTACTTTTCCTTTGTAGTACTGAGGATCTAAGTCAGAGCACTTTCACACTGGGCAAAATCACTAGCCCTTTTGATTTTTTATTTTGAGACAGGGTCTTGCTAAGTTGCCAAGACTAACCTCAAACTCGTGACCTTCCTGCCTCAGCCTTCTGAGTCACTGGAATTACAGGCATACACCACCATAACCAACAAAAATTCCTGTTTTATTTCCACCTTCAAGTGGGCTCTCTTGAATAAAGGATTAAGTAAGAAAAAGAGAACTTGGAAGCCCACTGAAGTTGAAGTACACACAACAACTCTCAGTCAAGATTCTTTATTTCTACTACTGTTTTTTTTGGCAATGCTTTCTGTCAAGTCCCACCACTTTGCCTGAGAACAGGTTCCTCATGGCTCCACTGGCTGCCACTTATCTGCCTCATGTGAAGGCCGCTGTGGCACAGGGCCTGGCGGGCTTTATTTCAACCTTTATTCTTATTGGTATCAACAGGACATAGGGTTGGGGAAGTGTCCTCAACCCTCCAACATTTACTGAGCATTCACTCTAGCCTAAGTATAGCTCTGCTTCTCAGCAGGGCACAGGGGATTTGAAGGCCTATAGGCAGGTCTGGTCTAGGAAGTCTGGCAAAGGTGGCTCTGAACTGCCATGCTGAAGGGACCTCAGGTAGGTGCAGTCCCCTCCACCCTTGGCTCTTGGGCCAGCTCCTGCTGCTCTCGGTCCAGCTGATGCAGCTGTGGTTCCACAACTTCAGGCACCTGCACCTCCAGCAGGTTTTCCATGCCACATTCTGGCTCATCTCTAATTAGCACCTGGATGAGCTTTTCACATCAGGCTCTGGTTCCCAGCTATGCAGCTCTTGAAGATCAGGTAGGTTCCCTGATCCTGCACCTGCTGCTGCCCAGGTGCAGTGGCTGTCAGCAGCATGATGGCTTCAATGAGCATATTGCGGATGTCGGCATCAGGTTCACGCTGCTTCTCTGGTGGCAGGTACTGCAGGTCAACAGGCAACCGGTTCATCTCTTCCTCCGAGACATCCTCAGGCCCAGCCAGGGGCAGTAGCAAGAAGAGAATAATGTTGACTTCAGGCCCAAGCAACCACTCATGGTGTTGGTGCTCAAAGCAGCAATTCCGTAGCATTCCTACCACCCCTCCCCTGTGCACTGAGGAGTCTGAACGCTGGATAAGGGGCAGCAGCCGCTGGACCACGCACCTGGGTTGGCTCTTCCGCATGGCGATCGGCCCAGGCACCCAAGCCAAGCGGTGGCTGGGCTGCGGGATCTCAGCCCCCTGCCGGGGCCACAGCACTGCCCACCAGAGCTATTTCTACTACTGTTAACACTGTTTAAATTCTATGCTTATGTTCAAATTTATGCTTATTTTTGTCCAGAATTAAAATATGCATTGTTTGGAATGTTTTCTTGAGATCTTATTTCATTTACTATTCAAAAACCAAAAAGTCTTAGCCCTCCTGATTTCAAAAAAAGAGAGAGAGAACATTAGCTTACAAGTATCTACACATTTAAACCTATAACTTTAAAAATTACTCTCCAAAAGAAAATCTTTTGTGAAAAGGGGATGATTATAAACCAAATCGTAAAATTCCTATCCTGTGCTCATAGGATCATTATCATGATCTTCATGCATAAAGGGCATGCTCAGAATAGAGGTCATCATTCCACTGAATGAATCTGTATTGGAGAAAAACCGATGCGGTTAGTAAGGCAGGTAAAACTAACTTCAACTGCATCAGAGCCTACCAGTCTCAGCAAACCCACAATTCTTGGTGAACTGAGAAAACACGGAGACTACCAGAGGGTGTCTACCAGAACAGGCAGTCACATTACTCACCTTGTGTAAAGGGAGCACCAGGAATGCTCCACCCCCACTCGCTTCCACGATTATGGCAACGAATCTGGGATTAACAGCACAAAAGGAACTATCCCAGGTCACACGAGAAACTCGGATGTCATCGTAGCACTGGTCATTTTTCACTGCTTGTCCAAATACATGCCGAAACTTGCTCTGCCGTACCACTCGCCTCATTGTGTCTGTAGAAGAAGAGCAAGAATTATGTGGCAAACTGAAACTTTTACAAATGAAAAAAAAAATAAAGCCCCAAGTTAGAAAAACAAAATGGTATGGTATTTTGTTTGCTCTCCAAAAAAATAGCCAGGTTGCAAATCCAAATTTCCTTTAGCAGCACATACCCGAAGAAAACTGTAAAATGCGTCAAGGAAAGAATTACAAAGAAATGAAAAATTCCTAATCCAAGATCCAGAGCAGCTCATCAATTTTAATTTCAGGAGAAAGATTAAAGTGAAGAATGAAGGAAAATTAGTTTTTCATGGCTCGGTGGGAAATGATGGATGATCACTCCAACCCTCACCCCTTTCAAAGATATGAAAACTCCCAAGTTAAGTGGTCTGGTAGCTGTGAGCTGAAGAAAATCCAAAAACAAGCTTTGATTTCGTGGCTTTCTCCTCAGTCTGCCAAGGTAATTTTTTAGTTTTTAAACATTTTCCCCAGACATCAGCACTCTGCTGTCTGAAAAGTGTGCCTGCTTCCCAGGATTTCCATGAGACCAACTAGGCACAGTGGAGAATTCTAGAGACAGAAGCAACCACCCTGTCTTCAAGAGCTTTCTAACCTCCTTTTAAGTCAGGCAAATAATCAAAGCAACTCAGGACAAACTGCCTAGAGCTGAGGGCCACATGGTGAGAAGAGGGAGGCAGGGGAAGGCAGCCCAATGGGTCTTAGAAAGAGAAGTATTTCAAAAAAAGTAAAGCAACCAAAGCCATGTTTAGGATGACCGTAAGTCTGGCAGTAGCATAGTGGAGGAATTAGACAGGAAGAAGCTAACTAGGTAGGCCTAGGCAGCTGTGACAACAAACCAGAACTGGAATGACATGACTGTTAGCACTTGGAGGAAATGAAAAATGCAGGAACAATTCTGAGGAGAAATGAAACCAGGATGGGTTTTCACATCAGAGTTTATCATTCACCATACTCATTTCCCAATAAACCAGGGAATGAGGGTGGGGGTGACAAAGCCAGGTTGCTCAGCTTCCAGGTGCATCATTTCAGACTCCAGATTCCACTGGACAGCCTGGTACACACGTGCATTGAAAGCTCTGACCAAGGCTTCTTAGACTGCACTTGATGTAATTTTCCTACCTGCGGCCATGCGACATTCTGTTCAAATTGGTTAGGAACATGGATAAGACCTATGAGGAACTGGAACATGGCATATCAACAACTCAGCTGAAAACCAGACCCCCACATACGCAGGAGAGCTAGCACCTGTCCCGCATGCCACTGGCACATGGCGGGCTTTTGCTGGTTCCCTTCCTCATGGCCCTGGACCCAATGCTAAATTCAAAGAGAGAGCATTTATTTTCGCCAGAGCTTCCATTTACCCTTCCAAGACATGTGCACAAGTGGCCTCTCTCCAGCACTGGGGCATGTGGCTGGGCTGAGGCAATAGGCCCTTGGCAGGCAAACTGAGCACCCGTGCTCCTCAGTCCAGCTGTTGTTGCTAGCTTTTTCCGGCTGACACCCAGGACCATACATTTGGAGTACTCGGTAGAGGGGATGGCAAATGACATGCTTACATCTGGCCAGGGTCCTTCTCGAAAATGAGTTAGGTAAGACAGAGTCCATGAGGTGGTGAAAACCAGAAGGAAAGCACATCCATACAGAGGCTGGCGAACAACCAGCTGGTCTCAGATGCCATCTCCCTACATACAGCCACCTGCAGGTTATAAACGCTGGAATCCCTACCAGCAATAAAGTAAGTTACCAAGGAAGAAAAAGGACTGCACTGTGTCTGCGTCGATATCCTTCATATATAAAAAGTTCTTACGAATTTATACAAATAAAAGCCAATAGAAAAATTAAGCAAGACATGAAGAGTTAATTTACAGAAATATAAAATGGATTCACCACCTTCCTAAAAATCCTAATAAGCAGTAATAAAGTGACAATAAAAGAACCAAAGAAGTATAAATACCAAAGGTCAATAGAACAGGAAAGGAGCCTGAAAGAAGGCAAATGTGACAACAAAATCTTGGAAAATGCAAAGTTGCAGTGCATGTGTGTGTCCACCATTCAGCTGACTGTCTCAGGAAGAGAAGCCAAGGCCCACGGTGAATTCCCAGGACACCCAGAAGAGAAACTGTTTCGAAAGGACAGAATTGACTGAAAGTCTGAGTTAAGAGAAGCTCGACACCCAGATCCCCTCCCTCCAGGGCAGTCATGGAACTGGCGCATTAGAGCCACACTGACACTCTGGTTCTGTAGTGAGGCCTCCAGCCCCTTGTTCCTCCTCACTCCAACAACCAGACCTCAGCCAGGAGGATATCAGACTTCACCTTAGTGACAAGGTCCACCACTCAAAGGGCCCCTCTACCCACAGGGGTATCAGGTCAGCTTTTAAAGCATTTTAAAATGTGAATGGAAATTAGAGGAAGGCTTCTACATTGAAAAACAGAGACATTTTTTCTTCTTCACTGAAATGAACCAGATACCATCTAACCCCACAAGATTAAAATAAATGTGAAAAAATGCTGATGATCTTCTTTGAAAGATAATACACAACTCTGCTGGTTGACTTACTAAAATGCACTAAAAATCATTTCCACATCATGCATAGTGACAACTTATTTTCACCCTAACTACATCTGGGTAGAATAATAGAGAGGTTCTTTTGTTACAATTATGAAGTAGAATGTTAGTTGCAGAGCTGAGAAAGGGGGTGGAGGCGCCAATGCTTCCAGCTTTGTGCTGAATCAGACATGTGGAAACGCAGCTGAAGACCAGTGTGAGCCCATTCCCATCCAAGGTCAAAACTGCTCTGGGCTCAGCTGTCCACATGTGACACAGCTGTTTTTGCTGCACAGAATGTCTCAGGCCCTCCAGGCACATAATAGAGAATAGCAATTAAGAGAGCAAACTGCAGAAGCAGACAGCCTCCTGAGTGAGGCTGTATTGTTTACTTCCTGGCCATGGTTCATTAGGGCAAGTCACTGAATCTCCATGTCAGATTCTCTATTAGAATGTAGGCATGATGTATATAAAGCTGAAGTGATTATTAAGTGAGCACTTGGTGATGCAACAGAGTGGCAATAGATTACTATGACATAGCATTCGGTACAGTCAGATACACAAAACTAATCATGCAATAAATGCCAACTGTTTTCATCTTAGTAATTAACATAAAACACTGGACTCTGCCACTTGTTGCAAATTACTTAACCTCTCTGAGCCTCAGTTTGCTTATCTATAAAATGAAGGGAATGATACCCAAAACAAGGAATTAAACCAATACCTGATTAGGCCAGGTCCAAATGGCTTCACCACTAAAATCTATCAAACATTTACAGAATACCAATTCTTCACAAATTCTCCCCATCCCTCCCCAAGAGGGAAGGCTTCAAAATGAATTGTATAAGGCCAGTATTTTTTTTTGTAGTAGCGTGAGTTTTATTTTTCCATGAAAAAAGTTTAACATAGTTTTGTACATAAGTAAAAAGATATGCAAGTCAAGTACAAAGAAATCCCAGATCCCCCTCATCCGGTTTCTCCAATTGAATAATGTACTACATTGCCTGCCCCCACCTTTACATTGTGTGATTTGTAAAGAAGAGGGCAAAGTCCACTTTTATTCCTAATACCATGGGAATAGTATCAACAGGAGTATAAGGCCAGTATTACCTTAACAGCCAAACAAAGACATCACAAGAAAACTACAGACCAACATCTCTCATGAATATGAATGGAAAAATCCTCAATGATACACTAGCAAAACAAATCCAACAATTGATAAAGGAATTCTAGCCAGGTATGGTTGCCATGTCTGTAATCCCAATTATTCCAGAGGTTGAGGCAGGAAGACTGACAATTCTTTAAGATTGGGCAACTTAGCAAGAATTTCTCTCAAAATAAAAATAAAATAAAAGGGCTGGGGATGTAATTCAGTGGTAGAACACTTGCCTAGTATGTACAAGGCCCTGGATTCAATCGCCAGTACCACTAAAAAATGAGAATAAAAATAAAATATATCCCACAAAATTACCATATGACTCAGCCAACTCCACTCCTAGGTATATACTCAAAAGAACTGAAAACAGGTAATCAAACAAATACTTACAGATGTTTACATTATTCACAATGGCAAAAGAATCAAATGTTGATTATTCATTGGGCAAAACATTCCAAACAAACAAGAACTCCTTTTTCTTTCTTTCTTTTTTTTTTTTGGTCCTGGGTCTTGGGTACTGACCCCAGGGGAGCTTAACCATTGAACTACATCCCTAGTCTCCCTTTTATGTTTTATTTTGAGGCAGGGTCTCACTAAGTTACTGAAGCTAGCCTGGAACTTGCAGTCCTCCTACCTCAGCCTCCCGAGTCGCTGGGATCACAGGCATCCAACACAACACCCAGCTCCCTTCTTCTTAAGAGGCTGTCTACACTGTCAAATGGTATTACTGTTGCAATAATTAATTTTTAAAAATGTGAAGCTATAATTTCCAAATTAAGATGTCATCTCACCAAATTTAGGTGTTTTTATTTTATTTCCCGAAGTACTGAGGAATAAACCCAGGGGTGCTTTACCACAAAACCCAGTCCTTTTTAATTTTGAGACAGCATCTTGCTAAATTGTTGAGGCTGTCCTTAAAATTGAGATCCTTCTGCCTCAGCCTCCCGAGGTGCTGGGATAATAGGAATATACCACAGCATCTTAATGGGTGTTCTTTTATTAGACGTTCCATCCCAGACTGATTAAACCACAAAACTAAAGAATCCCCCCAAAACTAAAGACTGTTAAGGGAATCTAATTTTCAATAATATCAAAAATAAATAAAAAAAATTCTGAGCTAATACAATAGGCACAAAGTCCTAGGAAATGCTAGGTTCAATTTCAATTGTCCTCTCAGAGAACAGTTCAACCTTGGAGAAGCTGCCTGCTCATGAGGCCTCTCAAGTTTAAACTCTTAAAACTGAGTAGGGCCTTTTCTTTGTAACTGTAGCACCATCTCAGTAACAAAAA